CCTGTAGTACGTCCGTTACATTTTGAGGCTTGCTGTTCTCCTGAATGAAAATGCAATCTCAATAATTCATCTGTAGGCCCTGAAGCTCTGCAACTTGTTGATTAAGTAGAATGCTTAACGCCACTAACTTTCCCTCTGTATATAGAAATGTTGGACGTGACGTCATTTTTTGCACTTTCTGTTCCGTGAAAATGTAGAAGACAGCCTGTGCCATAAAATAAGATTTGTATGACTTTCCACTCCGTTAAACCTCCTGCACTGCTAGTCTTAGCGTTTTTAAAACCATGATGCGTGCATGGTTTTGGCCAGTTCGATCGTACACCATGTTTGAGTATCACCATGTATCCCACAGTAGAATGCTGCAGGGACGGACATTTGCACTAAAATTAAACAGGACGTCCAAAAAAATACATACACATTTTAAATAATTGTAAACTTGGCGTTTATCGTCATTTTATTATCTCTAAACGTAAAAATAGTTACAAGTATCGTTTATTGTATTTTCGTCACTGTGTGTCCTCAAAATGACGTCCATTTGATTCAAACACGGTTGATAAAGTGAAGCAATGGAATCGCACACACAATGAAACAATTCCCCTGTTATTTAGGCGCATTCATTTTCAGGGAATTCTATCTTTCTCAATAAGTTAAAATAGAGTCCAAATGCAAGGAAAAAAGAATAAACTGATTCGTGTAAGTAAGTTAAAATTTTTGAAATAATAAAAGTATACTAAACCTCAAGTTTATAGTTACTTAAAATGTGTATACATTTTTGGGACACCCTGTATTATTGCGATATACGATGTACGCAGCGTCGACCGCACCCTCTCCCACATGGATCTGATGTTATAAGAGGATCAAGAAGACCGGAGGCGGACGAGCACAAATGTGAATGTTGCGGTGAAAAACGGCAACCAAGCGTGCCGCCAAACCATTCTATGGAAGCCCTATTGAGGATTCATTCAATCCTGATCTTCAGTCCATTAGTCGACTACAAAGGCCGGACTGACTGCAAGTTTAGAGTAAAGCCGCTGCACGACAATCTTTCAAGGCACTGTTTTAAGCCTCTGTGATAGTCACTAGCGCGTTGTATTGTTTTGATAAGGAAAACAAACTTTCTTAGATTCGATCTCACGTTCGTTTATCTTTCCTGCGGGGTCCATCAATTGTCCGAGTCGGTTGATCAATGTATGCTGAGGTTGGGGAAGCTGGCTGACAAAACTCGATGCATCACCTCTGCCCGAACCACATGACATTGCGGCCGTCGCTCCCAAAAACGTTCACCACAAGGCTCAGTCAGGTGATGCAACGCGATGACTGTGGCTGGATTAGAGTGAAAGCCAACTCACCGGATTTACCCCACTCTTTGTCCACTCCCGAAACTGGACCCCGTATCAAGACAAAAGTCCAGACGACTGGAGATGGGGAAGGGCGTAGGCGGTTTGTGCGAAACACACTCCAACGCCCGCTGCGACAACACCACATTGCTAGGTACGCTGGGAGCGTCGGAAAGGCCACATTAAGAAGGAGCCATTGAACCCGACTCTCAACTCTTCGTATGCCACGCCAGATAACAAGACACACTGGATCGACTGCGGTGTCGAATTTACTGCGTCAGTATGAAACCCTCCAAGCCGCCGCTTTTAGCACACCGCGATAGGTTCAAGCGCATCAGCTTGTTTTCAGTGAGAACGAAAAAATGCTCTGAGGTTCGACCCCAATCTCCTCTTTCACCGCCAGCAACAGGCCACCGCCCAGCTGATCGGTAACCTGATGTTGGACGGCCGCGGTGCTTAGAAGGTAAAAACTTCTGATATGAGCATTTCAGAGCAGATTGTGCAATGGAAGAGGACGATAAAAGTAAAAGAGAAACGGTGGAAGAGAGAAAAGGAAATTTAAAAAGACTGAGCGAGAAACAAGAAGTAGAACAACAGAAAAAACGAGAACAGAGCATACCTTTCAGCGCAGGGTCTGCGGAGAGTGCTACGGCTTTTGAGTAAGAAGCTTGCATCAAGATAGTCGAACGAACGTTTTCGATTAATTCATCATCAGGCATGCACGATAATATAAAGGGAATACAGTTAGCAAAAGTTTAAGCAACCAATGGGTATCATCGCCGAAGCTTGTGTTAGTCCCAAATGTCTGGGCTGAAGGTATGACTGTTGTGATTATAGC